AAGGATGCCGTGAGGGCACGGCAAGGATGCCGTGAGGGCACGGCAAGGATGCCGTGAGGGCACGGCAAGGACGCCGTGAGGGCACGGCAAGGACGTCGTGAGGGCACGGCAAGGACGACGTGAGGGCACGGCAAGGACGACGTGAGGGCACGGCAAGGATTCCGTGAGGGCACGGCAAGGATGACGTGAGGGCACGGCAAGGACGTCGTGAGGGCACGGCAAGGACGACGTGAGGGCACGGCAAGGATGCCGTGAGGGCACGGCAAGAACGTCGTGAGGGCACGGCAAGAACGTCGTGAGGGCACGGCAAGGACGACGTGAGGGCACGGCAATGCGAAAGAAAGTGTAAAACAAAAGAAGACTAGACCAAGCGAAGAGGAGACGTGACCCATAGTGTCTGGGGGTCGGACGAGCCGTCCATCGTTCTCAAACGTCAGTGTCGTGAACGTCAGTGATGTGAACGTCAGTGTCGTGAACGTCAGTGATGTGAGCGTCAGTGTCGTTAACGTCAGTGTTGTGAACGTCAGTGGTTCAACAGTGTTCCGTTCACACGCCGGAGTCCTCGCCAGGTTCCACCCTGGTTCCATCTCCAGGAGAACAGTGCACTTCATCGAGGTTTTAACAGCAGCTATGCCAGGATTTGGGAGACATCGCGACGCACTGTCGACGCTCTATTGGTGTCACTACACAGTCAAAACAATTTTAAACAATTCTACGCATAGATACAATGGCTCCATCACACCGGACGGTTGACATAATCCTCGGTGAGCGGCCATAGGTGCGTCACTCCGGCCCGGAAATAATCCGAGGCGTCGTGGCGGTAGGAGCCGGCAGCTGTTGTATACGAGGAGCGGGTTGACGTGCCTCGTATACCGTCATGGTGATCAAAATACGCAGCGACACGCATTACCGTAAACAGCTCCGGGACGAGGCCAGCCAATCGCAATAAACATCAGCCATAACAATAAACATGACCGGGTCAGTGTAGGTCACTTCCGGCTGGCAGGTCTCCGTGTGGCCTCCAGCAGTGGTGAGGCCGGCCACACCACTACCACCACTGGTGGGGCCTACCTGTGGGCGTCTACCACCATCACCACCACTGGTGGTCCCTACCTGTGGGTGTCTACCACCACCACCACCACTGGTGGGTCCTACCTGAGGGTACCTACCACCACCACTACCACTGGTGGTCCCTACCTGAGGGTACCTACCACCACCACTACCACTGGTGGGCCCTACCTGAGGGTACCTACCACCACCACTACCACTAGTGGGGCCTACCTGTGGGTGTCTACCACCATCACCACCACTGGTGGGGCCTACCTGTGGGTGTCTACCACCACCACCACCACTGGTGGTCCCTACCTGAGGGTACCTACCACCATTACTACCACTGGTGGTCCTTACCTGAGGGTACCTACCACCACCACCACCACTGGTGGGCCCTACCTGAGGGTACCTACCACCACCACCACCACTGGTACTTCTACAAGCTACCAGTCTAATAAGACCCCAAACCTCCTCAGCCACAGCAGAGCACAACATACTACAAGCAACAACAGCTTAATAGAACGTTGCAACAGCTCAATCTCCACCCCACACACACACCAGAGACTCACCAACCCGTCTACTCGACACAGTACACCGTATTTTACCGTCCAAATCCCCTGAGGCCAAAAAACTTATATACTAACCATCAAACAGCTCTCAAAATTGACACAGTGACGCGTTTTCTATACGTGGGTCATCGGTTATACAAAGTTATACAATTTAATACATCAATTTAGTGAGGTTGGGAATGGTGGGGAGGACCCAGAGGTGGACTCGAACCCGAGAGCCATAGCTATTTATATTCATAAATTATCATAATATAGTACCCAGGGTTTTTCTTCAGAAACTCTCGCTTAATTGGAGAAACTTGGGAGTGTGTGAATGATGGACCACAACGTACTGGCTGCCTAAAACAATTACCTTGAACGACACAGGTTTTAACTACAGTGGTGGTTTGAGATTCAGCTACTGGGAACAAAAAAGTTGCAAGTAGCACGGGCTATGGTGAGCCCCGGAGTGGACTTGTATACCTACAGCTTTAACAATATAGCACTTGAACATTATCCTTCAGTTTTTTTATTCATTGTAGCAAACATAATACAGAGGGGCTCTTTAACACACATAATTAAGCCCTGATTTATATTTTTACTCTGCAGTTCAACTGTTAGCAGACTAACTAGCAGTAGTAGCAGTACCAGTAGCAGTACGAGTAGCAGTACCAGTGACAGTAGCAGTACCAGTAGCAGTCTCAGTGACAGTAGCAGTACCAGTAGCAGTCTCAGTGACAGTAGCAGTACCAGTAGCAGTCTCAGTGACAGTAGCAGTACCAGTGACAGTAGCAGTACCAGTAGCAGTCTCAGTGACAGTAGCAGTACCAGTGACAGTAGCAGTACCAGTAGCAGTCTCAGTGACAGTAGCAGTACCAGTGACAGTAACAGTAACTGGCTAACTGTCACTTTACCTCAAATGTATTTACCACTTTACTCGATAGATAATACAAAAAAAAATAGAATTTCAATATTAATCTCCATTTCAACGTGACTATACCCCCCTCCCTTCCCTCCCTCCCTCTCCCCCTTCCCTCCCCCCCCCCTTCCGTAACATGACCCTGTCCCTTTGGGAAACTCAGTGACGTCATCAACGAACTAACATGAAAAATCCATTTGCAGTACCAATAAAAATATGCAACATTTAGCATGTCAAGTCACTTTACAAGTCACACGGATAAGTCACTTTACAAGTCACACGGATGCAATTACTTGCCATCAATTGCAATAAACGAGTATGTTTTTAATTTTTTTTCATGCAAAACACTTATTTTTTTTTTAATTGCAACACAATAATCATATTTTGTAATTTCAAGTGTAAAAATCAAATTTTTAATTTCCAATGCAAAAAAAAATTCAAAATTTTAATACCGATTTAATTTTGTTGATCTGCTCTAATTTTAGTAAATATCGATATTACAATTACATTCCAAAGAATAAAATAAAAAGTTTTATTCTTCTTTTATTATTCTGTCCCAACCACTTGGGCTCGCTTCATGCAGGTCGGTGTTCAATCCCCGACCATCCAAGTGGTTGGTCACCATTCCTTTCCCCTCGTCCCCTCCCAAATCCTTATCCTGACCCAGTGCTATATAGTCGTAATGACTTGGTGCTTTCTCCCGATAATTACCTAGGGGCCTCGTAGCCTGGTTGATAGCGCGCAGGACTCGTAATTCTGTGGCGCGGGTTCGATTCCCGCACGAGGCAGAAACAAGTGGGCAAAGTTTCTTTCACCCTGAATGCCCCTGTTACCTAGCAGTAAATAGGTGCCTGGGAGTTAAGTCAGCTGTCACGGGCTGCTTCCTGGGGGTGGAGGCCTGGTCTAAGACCGGGCCGCGGGGACACTAAAGCCCCGAAATCATCTCAAGATAACCTCAAGATAACCTTTTATTACTCAGGGTTATCATTCACTCCCCACCTCCGAGGACCGTGTGAATTAATGCTAAAATGTTATGCATTGAATACAAAGCTGTGTATGATCTCAGCTGTAAATATCAAACGCCCAATACAGTGTTGTTGTTAAAGATTCGCTATATAGAACAAAAAGTTCCAAGTAGCACGGGCTATGGTGAGCCCGTAGCCCAATACAGTGTATGTGTAGGAGGCGACGACGACGTTTCGGTCCGTCCTGGACCATCATCAAGTCTGTGGTAACATGACTCTTTATCAAGCCCTCTCAATCGACTTGCTAGTGGTCCGGGACGGACCGAAACGTCGTCTCTTCAATTTCTACCGTGTGGTTTGGTCAACATTTCTTCAGCCACGTTATTGTGACTTGTCGTATGGATGGGAGGTGATGGATACTCACCTATTTGTACTCACCTATTTGTGCTTGCGGGGGTTGAGCTTTGGCTCTTTGGTCCCGCCTCTCAACTGTCAATCAACTGGTGTACAGGTTCCTGAGCCTACTGGGCTCTATCATATCTACATTTGAAACTGTGTATGGAGTCAGCCTCCACCACATCACTGCCTAATGCATTCCACCTGTTACCTGACACTGAAAAAGTTCTTTCTAACGTCCCTGTGGCTCATTTGGGTACACAGTTTCTACCAGTGTCCCCTTATTCTAGTAACACCCGTCTTAAACAATTTATCTTTATCTACCCTGTCGATTCCTCTTAAAATTTTGTAGGTAGTGATCATGTCTCTCCGAGCTCTTCTATCTTCCAACGACGTTAGGTTTATTTCATGCAGCCTTTCCTCGTAACTCATGCCTCTTAGTTCTGGGACTAGCCTAGTGGCATACCTTTGAACTTTTTCCAGCTCAGTCCTGTGCTTGACAAAATACGGGCTCCATGCTGGGGCCGCATACTCCAGTATGTGTGTGTACTCACCTAATTGTTCTTGCGGGGGTTGAGCTGTGTGTGTGTGTGTGCGCGCGCGCGCGTGTGTGTGTGTGTGTGTGTGTTTACTAGTTGTGTTTTTGCGGGGGTTGAGCTTTGCTCTTTCGACCCGCCTCTCAACTGTCAATCAACTGTTTACTAACTACTTTTTTTTCCCACACCACACACACACACACACACACCAGGAAGCAGCCCGTGACAGCTGACTAACTCCCAGGTACCTATTTACTGCTAGGTAACAGGGGCACTTAGGGTGAAAGAAACTTTGCCCATTTGTTTCTGCCTCGTGCGGGAATCGAACCCGCGCCACAGAATTACAAGTCCTGCGCGCTAACCACCAGGCTACGAGGCCCCAATGTGTGTGTGTGTGTGTGTGTGTGTGTGTGTGTGTGTGTGTGTGTGTGTGTGTGTGTGTGTGTGTGTGTGTGTGTGTGTGAGTGTGTGTGTGAGTGTGTATTATGATGAACGTGCATTAAGTGAGTTCATTAGGGAAGGTGTGATGTGATCAGGGACGCCAACCTGACACTTCGCCTATGTTATTGGACACCAACAACTCTGACTACTGCTGCTGCTGTTGTCGCTGTTGTGGCGCTGGAGTTGGCGCGCTGCTGCTGTTGTCGCGCTGCTGCTGTTGTCGCTGTTGTGGCGCTGGAGTTGGCGCGCTGCTGCTGTTGTCGCGCTGCTGCTGTTGTCGCTGTTGTGGCGCTGGAGTTGGCGCGCTGCTGCTGTTGTCGCTGTTGTGGCGCTGGAGTTGGCGCGCTGCTGCTGTTGATGTGTTGCTGCTATTGTGCTGTTGTTGATGTGCTGCTGTTCTGCTGATGCTGTTGTACTGCTGCTGCTCTTGTGGAAGACATACTTCCACATCATAGTATAATTACCCAAACCACCTTCCTCCTTCCCACCTGTCCTCCTTTCCCATCCCTTCCTCCTACTCTCCCAGCCTAGCCCTCGCTCCCTAAGACCCCCCCCCTCCTCCACCTCCCCACCAGTGACGTGTGCCACATATTTCAAGAATAGGAAGGATCCAATCTTCGGATCTCCCCGAAGAATTTTGTAGGTAGTGATCATGTCTCTCCGAGATCTCCTATCTTCCATATCTGCCCTATCTCCCCCCCCCCCCAGGCGGCAGGTTCGGTGTCGTGCCCCGGCGGCGCGCCGCGGAGGGGCGGAGGAGGCTAATGATCCAGAGGCTGGCAAGACTATAAGGCACCTTTATGGATCTATTCCACCCCCCGTCCACACCCCTTCAGGTGGCAGCTTCATTTATCAGGTGGTGGTGGTGGTGGTGCTTGTACCTACCTTGAGCGTGACGGAGAAGGCGCGATTTGTCAAGTTTGGTCGCTGGCTTCTGTCTTGAGGGAGGCCGAGAACGCCTTCATTTGTCAGTCTGATGGATTGTAGTTTTGATACAGCTGTTGTTGATGTATTTTCCTCAAATGTTGTCTGCATGTTTGAGAGTGTCAGGCAAGATGCCGTGATGTCTTGTATTGGTATTCCTGTAACTGTCTCCCTCTCATAATGCAGTGTCCCTTTGGTCTCTTTCTTCTCCAGTCCTTGTCTTCTGCGGCATTGCATCGTCTGAGAACTTTCTCCTCTGTTGTGTCATTATCACAGAGGCCTCAAGAGACCACCACACTTGATACTTCTCATCAATCACATTTCCTCCTTCCTCAGATTATCATACTATTTTTCTGTCTTCCTATTTTCTGTCTTCTTTACTAAGTCGAGCACCTTCCGTGTCTACCTGTGTCTGTGTCTTGTGAGATCCAGTCAAAGGCTTTTCTTGGGCGGTCTGCGAGGAAGAAAAATTTTTCAGCACTCCTTCTCCTGTTTTATCTTGGTAACCATGTCGTTGAACAAGGAGTTTGTCAGGTACGACCTGGTGACGTTGTCGTTGAACAAGGAGTTTGTCAGGTACGACCTGGTGACGTTGTCGTTGAACAAGGAGTTTGTCAGGTACGACCTGGTGACCATGTGTAAAACATTACGCCTGTTAGACATACCTGGTAAACTGAATATCACTATTAAACACTCAGAATTTGTGTGGCTAGCAAGGTATAGAATCCTGTCCTGTTGTTGCTTGTGGTTAATTCTGCAGTCGAGTAATGTATTGTGCTTGAGATCTGAATGACTTAACCTTCAAATAATGAACAATTAGAGTTAACCTAACCTAACCTAACCTAACCTAACTTTCAAATAATGAACAATTAGAGTTAACCTAACCTAACCTTCAAATAATGAACAATTAGAGTTAACCTAACCTAACCTAACCTAACCTTGTTCACACACCACACAGATGACAGGCAGGCTTTCTGAGTCAGAGGGGAATTATTAGGAGAAAGCACCAAGTCAATACGACCATATAGCACTTGGAAGGGGTCAGGATAAGGATTCTGAGTCACAGCAGTAAATGAATGGAACTCTAAGGAAGGGTGTCATTGCATTAAACTAGAGACGGTTCGACAGCCGGGGTTCAAGAGCTGTCGAAGAAGTACAATTACGCGCAAATACACATACACATACACACATACACACACACACACACACACACACACACACACACACACACACACACACACACACACACACACACACCGAAGAGCCACAGTTCAATCCCCGCAAGCACAACTAGGTGAGTACACACACAAGCATATCTTGTCAAGCAGACAACTAAATTGAAGAAGGTTCAGAGGTTTGCCACCAGACAAGTACCCGAATTGAGGGGCATGAGCTATGAGGAGAGACTACGGGACTTGAACCTCACATCGCTGGAAGACAAGAGAGTTAGGGGGGACATGATCACCACATACAAGATTCTCAAAGGAATTGATAGGGTACACAAATACAGTTTATTTAACACAAGGGGCACACGCACTAGGGGACACAGGTGGAAACTGAGTGCCCAAATGAGCCATAGAAACATTAGAAAGAATTTTTTTAGTGGCAGAGTAGTTAATAAATGGAATGCATTAGGTAGTGATTAGGTGGAGGCTGACTCCATACACAGTTTCAAGTGTAGATATGATAGAACCCAGTAGGCTCAGGAACCTGTACACCAGTTGATTGACAGTTGAGAGGCGGGACCAAAGAGCCGAAGCTCAACCCCCGCAAGCACAACTAGGTGAGTACACACACACACACACACACACACACACACACACACACACACACACACACACACACACACACACACACACACACACACACATCACCTAGCAGTGATGACCCCAGATATCATTGAGTGCATCTCAAACCTTGGACACAACCGACCACGTGGGTCCCATTGAAGGTGTAATGTTCCTGCTAAATTTTGGTATATAACCCGACCATTAACTAGCTGCACGTACGGGAGACATCTCCCGTCACGCAGGGTGCAGTCGCACCTCCACAGATCTCCAGTATCAGCTCTTGATACTGGTAATGGCTCAAAAGGGCCACCACTTACGGGCTATTCATGCCCGTGCCACCTTTTGGCTGGCTTAATCTTCATCAATTAATCTTGGATGGTTGGGGATTGAACGCCGACCTTCCTTCAGTAAGGTCTACCGTCCATTTCATGTCGTTTGGCTTCTCTAACAAGGCAATGGCGATAGAGACTTCTAACAAAGTAACAAGGCAAGCAGACTACCAGCAAATGGATAAAGCTGTTGATAAAGCTGAGGCTTGAAGGAGACGACGGTCAATCAGGCCTCGCCTCCTAACCGTCTCTCCAGCCGCCGCCTGATGAGAATTAGAAATTACCCAAGAAAGTGAGCCGAGACATTTCGTTTTATTTAAGAAAAATGGTAATGGAGTTGTGGTATTTTTGGTTTGCTCGTGTGTGTGTGTGTGTGTGTGTGTGTGTGTGTGTGTGTGTGTGTGTGTGTGTGTGTGTGTGTGTGTGTGTGTGTGTGTATTCACCTAGTTATATTCACCTATTTGTGTTTGCGGGGGCTGAGCTCTGCTTTTTCGGTCCGCCTCTAAACTGTCAATCAATCAACTGTTACTAACTACTAAAAGTGGGTCCCATTGAAAGTTTAATGTTCCTGCTAAATTTTGGTATATAACCCGACCATTAACTACCAGCACGGGCCCGTCTAACAAGGCAAGGTGATTTCACAAAGTAATGCAATTAGGCGAAGAGAGCAGAAGGCTGAACACAAGGTACCATCTGGGAGGTGAAATCCTACAAGAGTCAAATAGAGAGAAAGATCTGGGGGTCGATATCACACCGAACCTGTCCCCAGAGGCCCACATGAAAAGGATATGATCAGCGGCATATGCTAGGTTGGCTAATATAAAAACTGTCTTTAGAAACTTGTGTAAGGAATCGTTCAGGACCCTGTATACCACTTATGTCAGACCAATCCTGGAATATGCAGCTCCTGCCTGGAGTCCATATCTGGTTAAACACAAGACAAAGTTAGAGAAGATTCAGCAGCATGCCCACCAGAGTTATGCCGGAACTGAGAGGTATGAGCTATGAGGAAAAGCTAAGAGAGCTGAACCTCACGTCCCTGGAAAACATTAGAGTAAGGAGAGACATGATAACCACCTGCAAAATTCTCAGAGGAATTGGCAGGGTGGACAAAGACAAACTCTTCAGCACGGGTGGAACACGCACAAGGGGACACAGGTGGAAACTTGGTACCCAAATGAGTCACAGAGACATTAGAAAGAACTTTTTCAGTGACAGTAGTTAGTAAATGGAATGCATTAGGCAGTGATGTGGTGGAGGCTGACTCCATACACAGTTTCAAATGTAGATATGATAGAGCCCAATAGGCTCAGGAATCTGTACACCAGTTGATTGACGGTTGAGAGGCGGGACCAAAGAGCCAGAGCTCAACCCCCGCAAGCACAAATAGGTGAGAACAAATTGGTGAGTACACACGCACACACACACACACAGAGGAAGCAGCCCGTAACAGCTGTCTAACTCCCAGGTACCTATTTACTGCTAGGTAACAGGGGCATCAGGGTGAAAGAAACTCTGCCTAGTCCGGAAATCGAACCCGGGCCACAGGATTACGAGTTCAATGGTACGCCAGCAGCCAGACGCCCACACCAACGGTACGCCAGCAACCAGACGCCCACCCCAACGGTACACCAGCAGCCAGACGCCCACACCAACGGTACGCCAGCAGCCAGACGCCCACACCAACGGTACACCAGCAGCCAGACGCCCACACCAACGGTACGCCAGCAGCCAGACGCCCACACCAACGGTACACCAGCAGCCAGACGCCCACACCAACGGTACACCAGCAACCAGACGCCCACACCAACGGTACACCAGCAGCCAGACGCCCACCCCAACGGTACACCAGCAGCCAGACGCCCACCCCAACGGTACACCAGCAGCCAGACGCCCACACCAACGGTACACCAGCAGCCAGACGCCCACCCCAACGGTACACCAGCAGCCAGACGCCCACACCAACGGTACACCAGCAGCCAGATGGCCACACCAACGGTACACCAGCAGCCAGACGCCCACACCAACGGTACACCAGCAACCAGACGGCCACCCCAACGGTACACCAACAGCCAGACGTCGTACCGTTGTAATCTGTACCTCTGTAATGCGATACCTGCATCTGTACCTCTGTAATACAAAACCTGCATCTGTACCTCTGTAATGCAATACCTGCATCTGTACCTCTGTAATGCGATACCTGCATCTGTACCTCTGTAATGCGATACCTGCCTCTGTACCTTTGTAATGCAATACCTGCATCTGTACCGTCGTAGTGTAATACCTGCATCTGTACCTCTGTAATGCAATACCTGCCTCTGTACCTTTGTAATGCAATACCTGCATCTGTACCGTCGTAGTGTAATACCTGCATCTGTACCTCTGTAATGCGATACCTGCCTCTGTACCTTTGTAATGCAATACCTGCATCTGTACCGTCGTAGTGTAATACCTGTATCTGTACCTCTGTAATGCGATACCTGCATCTGTACCTCTGTAATGCGATACCTGTATCTGTACCTCTGTAATACAATACCTGCATCTGTACCTCTGTAATGCGATACCTGCATCTGTACCTTTGTAATACGATACCTGCATCTGTACCTCTGTAATGCGATACCTGCATCTGTACCTCTGTAATGCGATACCTGGCTCTGTACCTCTGTAATGCGATACCTGGCTCTGTACCTCTGTAATGCGATACCTGCATCTGTACCTCTGTAATGCGATATCTGCATCTGTACCTCTGTAATACGATACCTGCATCTGTACCTTTGTAATGTTAAATTGTCAACATTAGTCAGGCTCTACATTATTCGTGTATATATTTATACGTTTATACTGACACACAATTGGTCACGTCCCGTTAGAGGAGTCTGGACTCCAGAGGCAGCCCAGCCCTCTCCAAATAGGCTTCGTCAGGAGTCCCAATCAGAGGCGTGTGGCCTTTGTCAGACGTCCAGTGGTGAGTTGTGGCGACGGTCCTGTCAGAGGTGACCGTGGGCGCCGTCTCCGCCTACTGCGCGCCGCTTCGGGGAGCTAGCTAGGCTCCTCCTGGTGCTCCCTCCCTCTCTCTCTCTCTCTCTCTCTCTCTCGTATAAACATGCACTCCTTCAAG